GCGCCGCCACCAACGCGCACGGGCGCCATGCACGGCGCATCACGGTGCGCGTGGCTGGTAAGTGACAGCTGGGGGTGGAGCAAGGGATCTGCTGGAGGGCGTGACCCGGGCCTTGGGGCTCGGGTCAGTATCAATCTCTGCCTCTCAATCCCAAAAGACGAGACCAAAGTGGGTCAAAGTAGAAGTCAACGCGCCTGACGAATGGGGCTCTTGATGGAAGATCAGGGGTGGGAGGCGGAGGTCGGGAGGAAGGTCAGCTCCAGGGGGAGGGACCCTTCAGAGCTGTGACAGCTGTGGGAGGCTCTGATGAACTTGGAGTGGGTTTTGGGGTAGAGGGTGAGGATGACTTGACCTAACTCACCCTCCACTATGGCGCTGTGGGGAAGGGGGACCCAGGGAAGCTGATGGGGGTCAACGAGGTGCCCTCCCCCATTAAATGTAGCTCCTGGGGATGGTTCTCTCTGGGGTGGAGAAACTGCGCTGGCCTCACTGGTCTTCGTCCTTTTGGGAATGGAGAGAATTGACTCACCACTCTGGGGTCAAGGGCTTGTATTCGCATGGGGTGTCAACTGGGTCTGCGGTCCCACTGCCCCTAGAGGGCCTTAGGTGCTCTCCAACTTCTCACAGGCCGGGCTCACTTCCCTGGGGCTCACATGCCAGATGCATGAAGGCTGACCTCGTGTTCATGCCAGGGGACAGTGACTGGGGGTGGGAGGAGCCTGGCGCTTTCCCACCCTCGGTGAAAATTTCCACGCGGCAGGTCCGTGGCTATGGGTGGCCGTGGGCGGAGCGGCCGGGGGCGCGGCGCTGCTGGCGGCTGGGGCGGGCCTGGCCTTCTACGTGCAGTCCACCGCCTGCAAGAAGGGCGAGTACAACGTCCAGGAGGCCGAGAGCTCAGGAGAGGCCGTGTGCCTCAACGGCGCGGGCGGGGGCGCCGGCGGGAGCGCGGAAGGTGGACCCGAGACTGGGGGCTCCGCCGAGTCGCCGTCGGGGGGCGAGGTCTTCGCCATCCAGCTGACTTCCGCGTGACCTGCTCCCCTATCCCCGCGGGCCGGGGGCCGCCCCCCAGGCGCACACGGGGGCTTATTTATTGTTCTATCTATTTATTTATTTATTCATTTATTTATTTATTCAACTCCAGGGGTATCACCCCTATTTTCTACCCATCTCCCCCAATAAAGTTTTTATAAAGGACTCTCGGTCTCAGCTTCTGTGGATGCAAAATGAGACAATGGGGTCGAATCCCGATTGCGACGATTATTCCTCCAAAAGACTTTTTTTTTTTTTTTTTTTTTTTTTTTTTTTTTTTGAGAGCCTACTATGTGTCAGGCGTTAGGCACGTGACACGCCGCCTGTGAGCAGTGTGATCTGGAGCTTTACCTCCCTGTTCCCAGTTTCCTGCCATCACAGGACCCTTGGGCAGGGGTGGGGACCAGCTCCTTCCTCCTCCTCCCTGTTGCTTATCTCTTCCGTCCAGCTCGGACCTCCGATCTGCCCCCTGACCCAGCTAGATCCTGAAGGTGGGAGATCAGGTGCTTTCCCCAGGTCTGTTTACCGGCAGAGCCACGCCGCCTTGCCGGGAGAGGCCAAGCAGTCCTTCCCAAGTGGTGGGATGGGTGGAGGGAGGAGCAGTGGCTGCAGTTGTGGGTGTCAGCCCTCCTGTTAAAGGACTACTGCTGCCCCCACCCCAAAGCTTCCTCCAGCCAGTGTCCACCCACACTGCCTCAGTTTACCCCAACCTGCTTTTTCACTTGACCCATCATGATTCAGAGCTAACACAGGGGATCAGCAGCAACCCCCCAAGCACATCACCATCCCTCCAATGGCATAAGGAGAGAACAGCTGGGCCTCCCCCTCTCTCCCTCCTCCCTCAAAAACAGGAACACAGAGCTCTGGAGAAGGAAGTCCGCCTGGGCAGCTCCAAGCTTCATTGGCTGCCCCCATGCGAACATTTAATGAGCAAAGATGAGAACAGGAAGGAGGGCATGAGAGGGCAAACTGGTTCTGGGTGTTAAGTGCCAGGGACAAAAAGCAACAAAGCACAGGCAAGTTAGAGTCCCTGCTGGGCTCCCCCCCAAGTCTCTACCACTTCCCCTGGCCTCCTCCAGATCCCCTGAAGCCCACAAAATCTTGCCTGCCTGTCCTGTCCTTTGGTTTGGTTTTGTTGATAGTGAGGGTTGAACCCTGGGGTGCTCTACCACTAAGCTACACCCCCAGCCCTTTTTATTTCGAGATAGAGTCTCACTAAGATGAGGCTGGCCTCAATCTCCCTGCAGAGTACCTGGTATTACAGGTGTGCACTACCATGCCCAGCCCATGCTGTTCCTTCTGACGGGGGAGTCCTCACCTCCAGGTCCCTTTGCTAGTTCCCTAACTTTTTTTTTTTTTTTTTTTTTTAAGTATTTGTTTTTTATTTGTAGTTGGACACAGTACTTTTATTTTGTTTATTTATTTTTATGTGGTGCTGAGAATCGAACCCAGGGCCTTGCATGTGCTAGGCAAGCACTCTACCACTGAGCCACAACCCCAGACCTAGTTCACTATCTTGAGGTCTCTATGCCAAGTCAATCCCTGAGGGGACCTTCCCTGAGCCCCATGGATAAAGTAGCCCCTCAATTCTTTTTGTGGGGGGGGTACCTGGGGGATTGAACTCAGGGGCACTCAACCACTGAGCCACATCCCCAGCCCTGTTTTGAATTTTATTTAAGAGACAGGGTCTCACTGAGTTGCTTAGTGCCTTTCTTTTGCTGAGGCTGGTTTTGTACTCATGATCCTCCTGCCTCAGTCTCTCCAGTTGCTGGGATTACAGATGTGTGCCACCGCATCTGGCTCAATTCCTCTTACACATTTTTCTGCAGCCCAGATCACTACTTAAGATTCTATTTGGGGGCTGAGATTGTGGCTCAGTGGTAGAGCGCTTGCCTAGCATGTGCGAGGCCCTGGGTTCGATCCTCAGCACCACATAAAGATAAAAAATAAAGATATTGTGTCCAATTACAACTAAAAAAAAAAAAGATTCTATTTGATATTTTATTGAAATTGTATTTATTTTTAAGAAATGGGGTCTCTCTGTGTTTCCCAGACTGAATTCACCTCCTGGGCTCAAGTGAGTCTCCTCCCTCAGCCTCCTGAGTAGCTGGGCCTTCAGGTGTACACCACTGCACCAGCTAACTGAATATTGCTCTCTCAGCCTAGAATATTGGCCCCAGCATATCATTGATCTTTTTCATTTTTAAATTTTTTTATAACTTTATTTATTTATATGTGGTGCTGAGGATCGAAACCAGGACCTTGCAGGTGCGAGGCAAATGATGTTCTACCACTGAGCCATAACCCCAGCCCCTAAATTTTTTTTCCTTTTTTTTTTTTTTTGCAGTACTGGGGATTGAATCCAGGAACACTATCACTGAGCTATACCCCTAGCTATTTTTATTTTTAGATAGGCTCTAAGTTCTGGAGGCTAACCTTGAACTTGCCATCCTCTGGCCTTGGCCTCCTGAGTCACTGGGATTACAGGATGTACCATAGTACTGTACATTGTTCTTTTTTTTTTTTTTAATATATTTTTTAAAAAAAATTTAGTTGTAGTTGGATACAACACCTTTAATTCACTTATTTTTATGTGATGCTGAGGCTTGAACCCAGGGTCCTGCACATCGGAAGTGAGTGCTCAACCACTGAGCCACAACCCCAGCCCTGTACTTTGTTCTTTCTATTCACCAAGTATCCCCACTGCGGCACACAATAGATGCTCAATAAATGGATAAAAACAGTTGTGAATCTGCAGAGACCTTGATGAGTTCAATGTGTGACCTCAAGTTTTTCCATGCTGGGCACTGGGGAGGCCTCTTGTGGTCAAGCACACAGATGTGTCCACCTTGGACCTAAGTCATGGTCTAGTGGGAGAGAGATGAATGTGATTAAATACTTTTGGGCCAGATAGAGAAATGAAACTTCTGGCAGGTTCTAAGAGGGATACCGGCAAGGAGCTGAACTTGAGACTGATGTGGGCTGGGTGTGGAGTTCTGTTTTAGAGTCGGTGGTTTAGGAAGGCTTCCCTGAAGGGGTGATATTAAGTTTTTCCAAATGACAAGAAGGTAGCAGCCCTGGGGAGATGTGGAGGGAAGAAGTTTTAGGCTGAGGAAAGGTTAGCAATGATCTGAGGGCTGAGAAATATGGGCCCCGGGGCTTTTCCTACAGCTGTACTCAGGTGAGACTAGGAGGGTCTCGCAGGTTTGTACTCTCTCACCTCCTGCAGTAGGCAGCAGACCCAATCTTGATGCAACTCACCTTTATTTATTTATTTATTTATTTATTTTTGCAGTGCTGAGGATGGAAGCCAGGGCTTGCTGGCTAAGTGCTCCACCACTGAGTCACAGCCCTGGCCCACCCCATCCATTCTTGGGCTCTTTCTTCTCCCTCTCAATAAGCTCTGGTGACTTGTGCCTCCCAGTTGCCCAGGGCTGGTTTCCCTGGTCAGTTTTTGGTTTGGGGTTGGGGGGCATCTCTTGAAGAGGGGGGAGGGGAACACAGCAGGGTTGGTATGCTCAAGGGTGCAGGGAGGGTGACAGTCTGAAAGCAGGGGTGAGGCTAGCAGATGAAGGGCCCACCTGTGTGTCTGTCGACATGCATCTGTCCCCTGTGCGATGACACACAGGTGTCTGTCACTGGCTGTGTCTATTGATTTGTGTGGTCAGTCTGTATCTGTGTGTCTTTCACATGTGGGTGTCAGCACATGCATTTGTCTTGTGCATCTATGTGTGTTGTTTGTGTGGTGACTGTTTCCCTGTATAGGACACTGTGCTGAGTGAATGTGGTTAATTCTTGTGTTGGTCTGTATATATATATAACTCTGTGTGTGTGTGTGTGTGTGTGTGTTCCTCACAACCCCAATGAAACACCTGCCCCCATCTTCCCAGGATGGGGAGAAGTGAAGGAAAGTACTCAGAATGAGATTCCCAAATCACACTGCTCTGAGTAGCTCAGGCTTTCTCAAAGTATTAATAGCAATAACAACAGTCACAGCTGAAACAGTTTCCTTTATTTGGAGTCCAATCAAGCCCGACTGGAGAAGGGGCTGAACCAGGGGGGGTGACCTCATGAAACAGGGAGTCTGGGGACTGAGCCTGGATATTCTTCCTGGGAGAGACAGGAGACAGGCTTGACTTTCCTTACTCCTAGGAGTTCTACCCATTCTTCCCCTAGGAAAACTGAGGCAGAACCAGGTCACTTGAGTGAAGAAGGGCTTACATTTCCTGAGTTGGGTCTTGGTGGGGGTCCATGGACAACCCACATCTGCCACACAGCTTCTTGGGCTGGACACTTTTCCTGGGCACCAGCCAGCAACTGGAACAACGGGTACCATATTTCTTGTACCTGGGATGGAGATACAAGAAATTATCATTTAAGATGCAGCAGGGGGGCTGGGCATGTAGCTCAGCAGTAGAGAAAGGCCCTGGGTTTGATCCTCAGCACCACATAAAAATAAATAAATAAGATAAAGGAATTGCGTCCATCTACAACTAAAAACAAAAGATACAGCAGGGACCCAGAAACTATCATGAGGAAGCCATTTTCCTCAAGAGGTACCTCTTCTTCCCAGATCCCCCCACACTAATGGGGGGCCCGACCCCAACTCCCTCCTCCATGCTGAGGACCTGATACCACAAGCATTGCAGAGAGGGGTCCCATCTTCAGCATCTCTCCAGAGTGGGGTCCTCTGGGTCCTACAGGAGGCACAGCATCGTGGAGCTGGAGGGTCAGAGGTCAAAGGGCAAAGATCAGAGTCAAGAATCTGAATTCAAGAGACCTGTGGAGGTAGGGCATTGTGTGTGGGGGGTCCCTGTGAAGGCCCCACCTGGTTCTGGGCCAGCCTTGGGTGTTGCTAAAGACAGAGGGAAAGCCAGGAAGAGGGACAGATGGTGCAGCTCAGCAGGGGAGGAAGCTGGGGGTGGGGTGACTCAGCCTGAAGGGAGGGGTGCACTCCAACTCCTGGGCAGGTCTAAATGGGGAAGCGGGAGGGGGAGGGGGCAGGGAGACAGAGGCAGGGAGGACAGGAAGTTGGCCCCCCCAAATATTTACAGCTCTTACATCTTCAGGACTCACCCTGGGCCTCGCTGCCTCCAGGGCTGGGCTCAGGGGCACTGGCAGGGCTTGCGGGTGGTCCCTGAGAGTGGCTGCTGCGGGGCAGATGAGACATTAGCATTGGGGATCAGCGTCCTGTCCCCTGAACACTCATTATCAAGGTATCTGGCAGCCCTAGGAGACAGTCGAGTCTGAATGATAAGATATCATTCCAAGGGTGGTGTGCTGGGATACAGGCTCAAGTGCCAGTTCTCCCCCTTGCCTGCTGTGTGGCCCTGGACCAGCTACATCCTCACCCTCGAGGCTTCAGTTTTCTAACCTGTACAATGGGCATCATGAGCCCGTGTACATCGAGTGCTGCCTGTTGCCAGGGCCGTAGTGACGTCTGTAACCCTAGCAACTCAAGAGGCTGAGGCAGGATGGCAAGTTCAAAGCCAGCCTGGGCAAGTTAGCAAGACTCTGTCTCCAATTTTAAAAAAAGAAAAAGAAAGGACTGAGGATGCGGCCCAGTGGAAAAGTGCCCTGGGCTCAATTCCCAATACCAAAACATAAATGTGTTGCCTGTAACCATTTTTTCTTTCTTTTTTTTTTTTTTTTTTTTTGTGGGGGGGGCGGAGTACTGGGGATTGAACCCAGGAGCACTTAACCACTGAGCCACATCCCCCCCCTTTTTTATTTTTTTTGCAACAGGGTCTTGCTAAGTTGCTTAGAGCCTCACTTTTGGGGAAAGTATACAACTGCCCTCAGTATGGACCAGCCTGTTTGACAGAGGGGACCAAGTCTCAGTGGAGACAGAGGCAGGGCTGGACATGGCACTGGCCTGAGGTCTTAATCAGACTGAGCCATCCCTCATGTGGAAGGACTGACTCCAGGGCATCTGTCTCCCAATACTTTCCTTTCTTCTGGTGGTGTGCTGGGAGTTGAACCTAGGGCCTTGCAAATGCTAGGCAATCACCATACGCTGAGCCACATTCCAGTCCCCGTTAATGTCCTGGTCCTTTCTTGGATGTACACGTCAGCCCTCCCTATCCAGGGATTCTGTATCCAAGACCACAACCAACTGTAGGGTTGTCTTAGTAGGCAGGAGGCCCTGGAGGCCCATCCCTAGCATCGTAAAAATAACAACAAAAATCTGGTCAGGTGTGGTGGTGCACCTTGTAATGCCAGAGGCTTGGGAGGCTGAGGCAGGAGGACTGCAAGTTCAAAGCCAACCTCAGCAACTTAGGAGGCCCTAAGCAACTCAGTGAGACACTGTCTGGAAAGGAAACATAAATAAGGGCTGGGGATGGGCTCAGTTGTTAAGCACCCTGGGGTTCAATCCTGGTACAGAAAAAAAGAAAGTAAGAAAAGAAACAAACCAACCAAACAAAAAACCTCTGTGGATTGTAAATATTTGGGGAGAAGGGAGCAGGTATGAAGAATAGTAGAATGAACTGGACATTCCGACCCTATGTGCATGTATGTGTACAACTAGAAGAATGAGCAGTCATATTCCATCTATGCCCGATGTGGCAGGATGCATTCTACTGTTATGTATACATAATTAGAAAAAAAACAAAAACCGTGGGGGGGGGGTACCAGGGAATGAACTCAGGGGCTCTCCACCACTGAGCCACATCCCTAGCCCTATTTTGTATTTTATTAGAACAGGGCCTCACTGAGTTGCTTAGTGCCTCGCTTTTACTGAGGCTGGCTTTGAACTCATGATCCTGCTGACTCAGCCTCCCGAGCCGCTGGGATTACAGGCGCGCACCACCACGCCCAGCTTAGAACAAATTTTTAAGAAAGGAAATATTTAGGGAACAAAATCCACAGGTACTAAACACATACAGACTTTTCATTTCCTAAATGATAAAGTTTAACTATTTACATACTGCATGTATATATACTGCATGAGATATTTTAAGGGGTCTAGAAGTGACTTAAAGTACACGGGAAGCTGGGTTCAGTGGCCCATTCCTGTAATCCCCGCTACTCTGAAACTCTGAAGCTGAAGCAGGAGGATCACAAGTTTGAGGTCAGCCTGGGCAACTTAGGGAGACCCTGTCTCAAAAATAAAGAAGGGCTGAGGGTGTAGCTCAATGGTAGAGCACCCCTGGGCTAAATCATCAATACCACAATAAACATTAATAAAAAGGGCTGAGAGTGTAGCTAAGTGGTAGATTGCCCTGGTTTCAACCCATCATATCACAAAAATAAATAAAACAAAGTATACGGTTTGTACATGGGCTCTACGCAAATAGCATGGCATTTTCTATAACATTTGGGTAACTGGAGGGAGGTGGGGTCCTAGAACCAGCTGCTGTGGATATTGTAAAGGTTACCCTGTCCCAGTTGGGCCCTACCTGTCGGTGGGCAAGATCTGCAGGCTGCAGTCCGGCTTTAACTGAAAAGTCAGAGTCACTCCTTGGAACGTGGGGTCCCCTTTCTCAGTGCCCCGGCAGGGGTGCGGCTGTTTGCGTGGTCTTCTCTGGGGTGGGGCTGGAGGACCCTCAGGGGGCACCATGCTGCAGCGCTTCTGGCTGACTGGGGTCTGCATGTTCTTGGAATTCCTGGCCATAGTTAAGGGGTCCAAAGTCCCCAGGGTCATTGGTCCCCAGCAGGGTCCCAGGGCCAGGGGGTCCTGAGTTGGGGGCAGGGCCAGCCCCTCTTCTGTCTCTTGAAGGAAGCCCAGGGCAGTGATGGAGTCCTGGCATCCAGGCCAGAGGGACCTGTGGACAAGAGGCCAGGTGATTACCTCCATCCCTGGGTGGTTCTTGGATCCAGAAGGCCTGGGGGTGCTCACTGGAGCCTATTCCTTGCTCACTGTGCCTTTGAGCAGGTCACACACCCTGCCTGGGCTGTGGAATCCCTTCTAGGTTGTTTCAGGTTTAAAAGTTACAAAATAATTGCAAACAAGGCTCAAGGTAAGCATGCCAGGTGATGTTCTCAGCCCTTATTAACCATTTAATCCACCCAGGAGCCCAGGAAGCAGGGACTTACTCTTGGTGACCAGGCCAGGGCTTCTGACTTCTGAGTAGAAGACCCGCTGACTTTATATGATTTCTGTCTCTATCACTGATACGCTGGCCTACATAACCCCTGGATGACCCTCGGTGGTGCTCACATGGGCCACGGGGATTCAGGGAGGTGTGAAATTGTATGGCCTCAGAGCCTAGATCATCTTAAGTGTCTGGAGACCAGAAGCTCTTTTTGGAAGTACCAGTAACTAACTTGGTGACCTCTGGATAACCTCAAGAACCAGAGGCCATGACCCCCTGCCACCAGGCTAGGTGAAATGTCGGCAGGGTGGGGGCAGGCGCCGAGCCTTACGCACCTGCCACTGAGCCTGAAGCATCCGGGGGGCCTCGGCTTCTGCTGGGCGGAGGGTCTTGGCGGCTCCACGTCCAGACAGCGAGACGCCAGGAGCTCTCCCAGCAGCATCAGGTCGGGGTCTTGGCAGTCACACCCCAGCCCCGCCCCACCACCAAGGGGTGGAAAGCCCTATGGCTGCTGCCCCGAGGGTGCAATGAGCCCCAGCTGGGTGGGGCGGGCCGCTGGGGTCTCCTCAGCGCTGCCTCTCCTTCCTGGCTTTACTCAGGTCACCTGCACACCCCTCAGGGCCAAGGGCAGCCTCTATCCCTCCAAATCCCTCCGCAGCTGCAGGGGCGGGGCCTCACCACCGGGGCAACCTGCCTAGGAAGAAGGGGATCCCGAGGCTCTGCCTCAGATCCCCAGCGGTCATCTCTTGCTGCCGGGACAGGAGAGCTGGGGTTCCAGCAGATGGGGATGCAGAATGTGGGTTCCCCCAAGGACACTCGACATGCTGGAAATCTAGGAGACAGTTTTATTGCAGCTCCAATTTGAGTCCACCCCTGCTCACGCTCCCATTCTTAGGGGCTGGGGGATGGCACCCCAAGTAGGGGCCCTGTCCCCTCCAGAGTCTGGACATAGTGATCTCTCCAAGCAAGGTCTCTGGCCTTCACCGTGCTTCTGACATCTCTCTCCAGCCTGTTCGCACTCCGGGCTGGGCTGGGCTGGCGGCTCGACTATTCCTTCAAGTCCTGGCCCTGGGGCCATGGTGGTGTGGGGGACAGTCCTGCTGCCCATGTCAGTGGGGCTTGGGGACATGTCCATCCACATAGAAGTTCCTGGTGATCTTGGGCAGGGTGAATTCAGCCCCTTCCAGTTCAGGGGTCAGCACGATCTGGCAGCCCAGGCGCGAGTTCTCCTGGAGGAGGGGGGCCATATCCAGCATGTCGTCCTCCCTGGGCAATGAGCGCAGCGTTAGCCGTCCACATGCTGGCCCAGCTGCTGGGGAGACTGGCAGCCCTGGGGTAGGCAGGCTGACCAAGTCCACTTGGGAAGGGGCAGAGGGGAAACTCCCCTTCCAGCAGCTGGAGGCGGGAGAAGAACTGGGGCTGCCCTCCCTGGTGGCCCCTCTGGACATGGGGACCTGGAGGCTCAGCAGCTGAGCCCTGCCACTCAGAGCCTGGGGGTCTGCCCTGCTCACCTCTCCTCAGGGGGAGGCAGAAGATCCAGGTGGGCCTCACTCACATACACATGGCAGGTGGAGCACGCCAGAGAGGCTTCACAGGCTCCTGGGGGCAGGAAGTGAAGGGAATGGTTGGTGAGGGGCAGGCGCCATTCCACAAAGGGTGCCAAGAAGCTCTTTGTTTGACTGCAGGCCTCAGCACTCCCTCCTGGTCATATGTCAGGTCACCTGCACAGTTCGTTGTTCTGGAGTTGCCTGCAGGCTTTATGAGGGCATGTCCAGAGTGTCTTAATTCCCAAGGACTCTCCAGCAGACCGAGGACCTGGCTGGGTGTGTGGAACCAATAATAAGCCTGGAGTGACTTCTATAAAGCTGAGAGGGGAACGGCCAGCAGGTTCCCTGCAGCCTGTGAGCCCGTGCTGTGACCCTGTGCTAGGCCTGCTCCTGCCTCCTTGCTGCTCCCAGAGGACATTCTGGCTGACTCCAGAGGGAGAAGGGAGAATAGGTCAGGAGTAAGGATTAAAAGAGGCAGAACCTAGGGTCTTTCTACTCATCACTTGTTGTTGGACACACTTCTGAACCCTCTGACCAGTCACCAAGAACTATGCTTGGTGTCTTTCTTGGCCTAAAACTTTTCAAATGGTTTCACATCCAGAAAAAATCTAGACTCCTCTACTGAGTCCTTGAGATTCCTTCTCCCCTCATTCATTCCACTTCATTCACATTGACCCTCTTGATGCCACTCTAATAGCCAAACTCCAATACCCAAGTTCATCCCCACCTCAGGATCTTTGCACTTGCTGTATCCATGACTTGGAATGCTCTTCTCTCCACTTTTTCCATTCTCGTCTCTGGGGGCTCAACTCAACTATTCTCTGAGTCCCCCAACTCCTATTTCTTGTCCCTATCCCCCTTTTAATTTTGTGTCCCGTTTACACCACAAATAACTTTTCTTTCTTTTGGAAATGGGATTTTGCTATGTTGCCCAGGTTGGTCTCTAGCTCCAATCTCAAGTGATCTCCCTTTGGCCTCCCAAATAGCTGGGATAATAAGCAAGCATCACTGTGCCTGGCTCATCTGCAACCAGAGTGTCTTAATTCAACCACCTTAATCTCTGGGTTTACCTGTTCCCAGTCAATCGGCCTTCCCTCTCTCTGTGCCAGGTACAAAGTACTACTAAATATTGTTTCATCCTAACAGCAATCCAATGAGATGACAACTAAATCATCTCATTTTATAGATGAGGAAACAGCTAAGTAACTTGCTCAGGGACATAGCTGTTAAAAGGCAAGATTTGAATACAGGATACTTGCCTCTAAAATTCATGTTCCAAACTCTGTTCTGGACTTCTGGCTATTGCATTCTAACACATAACTGCTTCCATGGTAGGAAGGCCTGCTATGGCCTTCCAATATCCCAACAGCCCCTTTAATGATTGGATTAGACTTTAAAAAATTTTTTAAAATACATTTTTTAGTTGTAGATGGACACAATACTTTTATTTTATTTATTTATGTGGTGCTAAGGTTTGAACCCAGTGCTTCACACATGCTAGGCAAGCGCTCTACCACTGAACCATAGCCCCAACCCCAAGACTTTTTTTTTGGTACTAGGGACTGAACTCCGAGATGCTTAATGAATCATTGAGCTACATCCACAGTACTTTTTATTTTATGAGACAGAGTTTTGCTAAGTTGCTTAGGGACTCTCTAAATTGCTGAGGCTGGCTTTGAGCTTGTGATTCTCCTACCTCAGTCTCCCTAGGCACTGGGATTACAGGCAGATGCCACCTCATCTGGCTTGAAAAGATTTCTTATTATAGTCTCCCAACAAATAAACCCTGTTTATTTTTCTTTTTCTTTATTTTTGAGGAGGTGGGGGATTGGGGATTGAACTCAGGGGCACATGGCCACTGAGTCACATATGCAGCCCTATTTTGTGTTTTACTTATTTATTTATTTATTTAAATATTTATTTTTTAAATTGTAGTTGGACCCAATACCTTTATTTTATTTATTTATTTTTATGTGGTGCTGAGGATCGAACCTAGGGCCTTGCATATGCTAGGTGAGTGCTCTAGTGCTAAACCACAACCCCAGCCCCTTATTTATTCATTTTTAACATTTTTATTTATTTTTATGTGGTGCTGAGGATCGAACCCAGTGCCTCACATGAGCGAGGCAAGCATTCTACCACTGAGCCACAACCCCAGCCCTCTATTTTATATTTTATTTAGAGGCAGGGTCCCACTGAGTTGCTTAGCATCTCACTGTTGCAGAGGTTGGCTTTGAACGTGTGTGTGATCCTCTGGCCTCAGCCTCCCCAGCTGCTGGGATTTACAGGAGTGCACCACCGCACCCAGCAGTGTATATGTTTTTTTTAATACCACCCTTCCAGTTGATCATGACTTAATAATATGTTTACTCTTGGGATTATTGTCATTATTAGGCTGAAATTGGTGTGAGATAACAGAGTCCTTATTTGTTTTATACATTGTTACCCAAAACATAGTAGGCATTCAATGTTTGCAGAAGGGTAGCACAGATTATGGGCTCAAATGGGCTGGATTTGGATCTAGTTTTGCCACTTACTTGATTTTGGGATGGGTCTACTTAAGCTGGTGTTCAGTTTCCTCATCTGTAAAATGGAATAAATCTCTTCTATCGCATAAAGTTCTCATGAAGATTCAGCCAGTTGATATGTACTAGTGTGCTTAAAGTAATTCGTTATTATTATTGTTCCTTCAGCAAAAGCTGATTTAAAACCTGTTACATCTAAGTACCATGCCAGGCAACAGATAAGCATGAACAAGGTGAACTGGGTCCCTGAGCTCACCGTGAAAAAGATGGCAAGGAGGGAAGCAAAACAGTGCTATGAGGGTGACTGGGATGGAGACTTTAGCTGGACTGAGTGGGATGGAAGTGTCAGGAAGAAAACATTTACATTGAGAACTGAAGGATGAGAAGGAACCAAAAAGGTCTGCTAGGCTAGCACTTCTGACACAGGAAACAGAAAATGCAGAGGTTCTGAGGCAGGAATGAGCTTGGCTGTTTGAGAAATCACAGAGTGGCTAGAATGGAGGGAGCAAGCAGGAAGGGAACACAGCTCCCAGAGGGAAGTTCTAGTGCCTCTAATAAATGAAGACTGGGAAAGGGATGAGGCCATGGTGAAGAATTTGGATTTTAGTACATATTAGGTAGTAAGCCACAGGTGGGCTAGTCAGTAGAGAGACATATCTGTTTTGATGTGATTAGAGAGAGAGAGAGAGAGAGAGAGAGGGAGGGAGGGAGGGAGGAGATCAGGTCCTCCATAATTTCCTGTACTTGGCTCCTACCTTCCAGGTCCACTCCGTGGCGCTGGGCCAAGTGGAGAACATTGTCCCCGACTCTGCCGCTCACCGGGATCCGCTGGCCTGACCGGTCTACGAAGACCACGTTCACCCTGGGGACAGATGGGAGAGCGGATGCCACATTGGACGATGGGCTCAGGGGCCGCATAGATTCTAGGGTTAGGAGACAGGGGATGGGCGAGGCAGAAAAAAAGCCCCGGATGAAGTTGCAGAACAGGGCTTGAATCGGGGAGCCTCATGGGACGAGGAACGAGGGATTTGGACCCGTACACTCACACGTCCCCGGGCCGCTCAGAGCCTCCGGCCTCTTCTTCTCCTGCCGGGCGCGAGCCTAGAAAACACGGTTAGGTGAGCGGCTGCGCGCCGTTCTGCCGGCGTCCGACTGGTTAACGCAGTCTGTCCCAGGAGCCCTGGGTACCTGTCGTCCAGAATTTTCTGGCTATCGCCAGCGCCGCTGCATCCCTGGACCTGCTCCACCAGGAACCCCTGGCCACCCGCAGCAAGACCCTGGCATTCACGCCGCCCCGGGCCACGGAGGCGGCCATGACAGGCATCACGTGACCAGACGATCGAGCATGCGCAGTCCCGGACACGCGAACCGAGAGCTCGTAATTACCCAAACACAAACGCAGGTTTGCTTGGGTCCTGAGGCGGCGAGGTGTTTGCGCCGCGGGAGGAGGGCACCAGGTGGGAACTCAGTCGTGGAAACATCCTAGATCAACCCGGCCTTCCCACCCAGGCCCACTGTTATCCCAAGAAACAGCCAGCTCTTATTTCTTTAAAACCGTTTACTTACAAACTTTAATTCAGCAAAGGTCTGTATGGGAAGATTGGGGAGAGGACATCCCCCTGAAGTGAATGTGGGCCCCAGAGTCACGACAAGGAAGCTGGTAG